GTACTGTACCGTGGTAAGAGCATACCGTTTCACCCCTACTGACCATTTCATCAGACCCACTGTGTTACAAACTATTGTCAAAGTACCTGTCAAATTGGAGATGAGCTTTACAGAGCTACAGGCAATAGAGAGAGTGGTCATATAGCTATATCCCGTGGACAAAACAAATATACAGTCATTCCCTTTGTTGATCCTTTAGCTCAAAGTTTATGTTTAAATTATGTTTGCATAGTTTAGCGAAGTTTCAAAGTTCAACGGTGCCGCCATTTTCATGCTTATGGAACCTGCATGCCTGACATCCACTTGTTATCCCACTATTGACGGACCATCACATTACACACAGGTCTCGTATTGTTTCTGAGTTCTCCTACAGGAGAACATAGCCATCTTACCATGGCCAGTACTCACTTCAGACTTGTCACCCATCAAACATGTCTGGGATATCCTTGGATGGCGTGTATATTGCCGTCAGCAACTACCAACCACTCTCAACAAATTTGGCGCTGCCCTGTAGGCAGAATGGGAAGGAATAGACTATTGGACATTTGATTATGCCTTGTCAAATCTTGGATTGTCTTGCATAGAGGCAGATTCATGCAATATTCATTTTCATGGTAAACGATGTGATGGACTTTGGGTATTCATCTAATAAAGTCTTTGTCTCTGACATTCAGTGACTAATATAAATCTCGGTCAGATGTCCCTGTTACTGTTAAACTACTTATCTCATAAACGATATAAAATAGCAATAGTTGTGGCACCTTTTTGTTGAATTTTCTAACTTTTCTTTAATAGTGTATGGGGCAATGGGGTAGCCTAGTGGTTACAGCGTTCGGTCGTCACGCCGAAGACCTGGATTTGACTCCCCACAAGGGTACAATGTGTGAAGCCCATTTTTGGTGTCCCCCCTGCCGTGATATTGCTGGAATATTGCTAAAAGCCACGTAAAACCAAACTCACTCACTTTAATACTGTATATTCTTTAGGCATTGCCATTTTGACAATCATGATTGAATATGAAATTAACAATGCCATTTAGAAAGTGGTCAAATGTAACATATAAAGTTATATTTGGGATTACACTTTCTGAGTAAAGTACTAGAATCTGTACTTTACTAAGAAAGTGTAATCCCAAATATAACATGTTAAGATTGACTACCAGTTTTGCCTCCCTGGGCGTTTTGAAGTAGCAGTATGTAACAAAGTGAGTTTGTCTGTAAGAGTTTGAAATGTTGTTTATGCTCAGCTCACCTGTGTTCTTGTCATATAGGGGCGTTTGGGGAGCTTAGTGGTTAAAGCGTTAGCTCGTCACGCTGAAGACCCGGGTTCGATTCCCAACATGGATACAATGTGTGAAGTCCATTTCTGGTGTACCCTGCCGTGATATTGCTGTAATATTGTTAAAAGCGTAGTACAACCCAACTCACTTACTCTTGTCATATAAGGCATCATTTTGTGTGCAGAAATTAGGATTACCTTATGTATCTTGTAAACTTCATGGACGCGCAAAATTTGATACATGTGAAGGTGAGCTTTAATGCCGAGAAACTATTTGCATAAGCAAAAGATAACATATAAATTACTTGTATTTCATTGACATTAATTTGTGAATCATACTGGACAATAACTCACCCTACTGGATTACAGTGACACATTGAGCTCTGCACATTCCATAGAGTTGTCCAACAAACCAATAATGGCAGTTATAATAGTGAAGATTGATGCACGGCACTGATAACCAATGTCATCTGTGAAGTTTACAATTATTACCGGCACCATCTGATGTCACAGGTTTTGATGTTATTGATTGTTTAATGATTGGGAATGTGTGTGTTGTCAAGAGTTGGAAAAGTGTTATGGTAAATTGGCAATATATGCCAGGTGTGTTGTCATCTGTCTGAGATTATATTGCCTGGGTTGTTATTGTAGTGTGATGGCTATTGTGATACCAGGGTGGCTGAAATGCTCCAAGCGTAACTGTGGTCTGTGACTAGGCATTTTCTGTTAAAAGAATTGACAAACAACTCTGTCATCAAATCTCTTGATCTGATAGGTCTGAAGCAACAGTTGTGACACCTTTTTGTTGAATATCCTAACTTTTCTTTAATAGTGTATGGGGCAGTGGGGTAGCCTAGTGGTTAAAGTGTTGGCTCGTCACGCCGAGGACCCGGGTTCTAATCCCCACAAGGGTACAATGTGTGAAGCCCATTTCTGGTGTCCCCAGCCGTGATGTTGCTGGAATATTGCTAAAAGCGGCGTAAAATCAAAACTCAGTCAGTCAGTCAAACACACAGATACCACACACACAGAGATTATGTATATGTAACACTGCAGTGTTCATGAATGTTATGTTGTGATAGCATTATGAAGTTACGTCACAGTATGATCTGAAACAGTAATCTGTCGCTGAACATTAAGTTGAAACCACAGGAGAGAACTCACGCTCTGTCATTATTTTGTGGATTTTAGCGTGTACCTAGGTGTACTTAAGTACACAGCTGAACTTTGCCTCTGTATTCATGTATGAATATTCATAAACTTAATTGAGCATAAAATTAATGTGAAAATACTAGTTCCTCATACTCGCATTAATAAACATTTTTACGTGGGCATAATATATTTTTTGTATCATCAGGTTTACAGTACAGAAACAATTACAGGCATTGCAAGGCTGCCAACATTGTGACAGGAGTGCAACATTCAGTTGATCAAACAGTTACAGCAGACACCCACAGTGTATGCAGGTGTCTTTGTTCATGGTAATCTTGAGAAATATAGTTTAAACTAAGCGAGAGCCCACTTGGGTAGCCTAGTGGTTAAAGTGTTCGCTGGACAAGTCCAGGTTCGATTCCCCCCATGGGTACAATGTGTGAAGCCCATTTCTGATGTCCCTGCTGTGATATTGCTGGAATATTGTTAAAAGCGGCGTAAAACTTAACTCACTCACTCACTCACTAAAAGCGACATATGTAGTGAAAATCTCCAACATTTGTTGAAGTTAAGGGTTTTTTCTGATGCTGTAAAGCCATAGTCACTCAGGATAAAACCATACTCACTCACTCACTGAATGGATGGCACTGATGCAAGTAACAACACTTGTAACCTGTACAGTCTTTATCAGTGACCAAGTCAATCTCATTTGAATATGTCCATTATTATTTACCATGTTTATTGATTTCCTGGATGTTAGTTCCAATGTCTCATGCAGGAAGGGGTTAAGTTTATGGAGAATAAAACATTATCATACAAACTGTTGTTATCCACCTACCTCCAACCCAGGGGCGGTGGGTAGCCTAGTGGTTAAAGCGTCCGCTCGTTACGCCAAAGACCCGGGTTCGAATCCCTCGATGGGTACAATGTGTGAAGGCCATTTCTGGTGTCCCTTGCCGTGATATTGCTGGAATATTGCTAAAAGCAGCGTAAAACCAAACTCATTCACTCACTCACCTCCAACCGACATCATGCACTTCAGAGAGTACAGCCTTGGTTTTATATTTTACTGATAGGTAGGGAATTGTATGCTAGTGGTCATCTCATGACATTGTCTAGAATGAAGATTTACCATAGAGTGCTAGGGTGCACGTGGCGGTACATTTTTGTCACTTTCCCTGAATTTGAGATTTACCATGGACTACAAAGGTGCTTGTAGGAAGTACAGTCAAACACTACAAGTGAGTGAGTAGGGTTTTACGCCGCTTTTAGCAATATTCCAGCAATATCACGGCGGGGGACACCAGAAATGGGCTTCACACAATGTCCCCATGTGGGGAATCGAACCCGGGCCTTCGGCATGACGAGCGAACGCTTTAACCACTGGGCTACCCCACAACCCTCAAACACTACAAATACAAAATGACGAGTAAATAAGGAATACACCAAATCCCAGTTTTACTTTGAGACAAAAATAAATTTGACACAACGGTGCTTGACACATGACTATGTAAACATTTGAATAAACAATGCTAAAATGTAACGCATGCTATAATTGGGATTTCACTGTCTCATTAAAGTACAGATTCTTGTACTTTTGTTGGGTTGAGTCCTAACCGGGATTGGAACCCACACCTTCAGAGTCAGGCACCTAGTTGCCAGCACACAAAGTCAGCCGTTTACCCCATCCAGATCAGGTCCTTGACTCTGAAGGTGTGGGTTCGAATCCCGAATGGGACTCAACCCTCTTTGTAGCAGTGTTATCCAAGCTGGTAGGCAAGGGGTGAGGGAGAAGTTAAGAACGTAATTTATCTTACCACCATGTTATTTGTACAAAATACCATTTTATTTTATTTTGAAGATTGATAAGCTCGCAACCAACTATATGACATGTAAACAAAATGGCATCTGTCTCTCGACTGGATTTTCAAAATCAGTAAAACATATTCTGACAAGCTTAAAACTGCCATAAAAATGGTTAATTATGTTTGAGTTGAGTGTGCAAACAATGCAATGTATAAAATAGTTTAAATAAAACTGTGAAAGTTGTTAAAATAAATGTGTACAAAGTGAACTCAAAAACAGGTAATCAAATGGTTTCAATTTCCGTGGACCTGAAGGTCCGGGTTAGAATGTGCCTTCAGTAACCCATGCTTGTCGTAAAAGGCGACTAACGGGATCGGGTGGTCAGACTCGCTGACTTGGTTGACATATGTCAACGGTTCCCAATTGCGCAGATCGATGCTCTTGCTGTTGATCACCGGATTGTCTGGTCCAGACTTGATTATTTACAGACCGCTGCCATATAGCTGGAATATTGCTGAGTGCAGCGTAAAACTAAACTCACCCACTCAATTTCCGTGCTCTGCATGTGTCATATTATGACATCATATGATTGTTAGCAATACAGCTTCTCAGAGGAGAGTTTGGTGGGATGACACAGAAACTTGTTTAAAGCCTCATTGACCAATAAAATTAAATTATTTTACATGAAGGTAAGATAATAATTTATGTACCCGAGGTATAGATGTTCCTGTGCTGTAATTAATGCTTGTTATTTGTGTTCTCAGTTCCCCTTGAGGCTGTTGCCTTCCTCGGAGCAGTAGGGCCGTTCCTCGTGCTCCTCGTCATCTTCTTCCTCTACCTTAACAAGTCGCTTTGCTTCTCCGAGTGTGGCGGATTTCCATGCATTGACAAATTACCAAAGAAAGAAAAGACTTTCAACAAGCTGGTGAGTACGTCTTTCCGACTTCATATCGTCGTGTGACTAACATTTCCTATTGGTCAGAATCAGTATTTGGATGTTTACTTGTCAAATGTTGTTCGTACTTCTTGTACTGCCTGCACAGGCGGCATTTGGTTATTTTGCTCTTTTCACTATCCAGATCAAGATACGCCCATACATTTGATTTATCTTTCTCCATGTCTATCAATTGTCAAGATAGTTACCTAATCATTTTAAGAAGTAAAATCTCAAACGATGTATAATATTTATTCTCATCTGCATACCATGCAGCCACACCTTTTGAGGAGTAAACTATTTAATCTAGGTGTTAATAAAAACATTATCAGATGGGTTAAAGAAAGAATTCAGGGTACATAGAACTCAGTATGTCAGTGTCAATGGCTATCAATCTTCTTTCCTCTCAACCTCTACTGGAGCTCCAAAGGACTGTGTTCTTTCATCCGTACTCTTCATTTTGTATACCAATGACTGTTACTTGTCAATATATGACTTGTTTACTGTGAAATTAGCAGATGACGCCACTGTTACTGGCCTAATTTCTGATTCTGAGCATTATTATCGTCAAGGCATTAACAAAACCGTAATGACAGTTTTTTTATCAAACCTTTATTCAAAGTGTGTTGACCTACAATTTTCTATGTTGGTATGGGGATCTGTCTCATCGCAACAAAAACAAACTTTCCAAAATTGTTAATACTGCTTGCAAAATTTCTGGAGTGTCTTTCGAGTATATTCCCTTTATCTATGAGCGCCAGATTGTCAAAAAGGCAGCTAAAATTAGATTTGATAGTTGATATATTTGATCTCACCATTTTGAACTACTTCCTTCTGGACGCTGCTGTCGATTACCTTCCTTCAAAACAAACAGAGCTCGACAGTCTTTCATACCATCAAGTATTCGTGAATGCAACAAATATTTTGAATCACCATCATGTGATTAGAACTAGAATTATTCAGCCTCTTCACCTATGTGGTTAATTGAATTATATCATGTCAGTTTTATTTGTAAATAGCATTCGTTTTGAGCATGTAATTATTGTGTATATTTTTGTGAACTGTGTATATATTCATTTTGAGACAGTTTGGATATATAAGAATTTCCTTCGGGATAATAAAGTTATATCTTATCTTAATATTAGACGTTAACGGCCGCTCATGCTTAGCACATGGCAGATAGTCTGTCAACGTCAAATAATTCGAGTTATCTCCCCTTTTCGAGTCCTCGAGTCCTTGAAAATGGACTCGAGTCCAGCTAAACCCGACTCGTCCTCGAGTACTCGAGTACCCGTGGAAGCCCTAGTCTGTCTGTGTCCAAATGTGAAATGAGTATTGACACATAAAATCTCAAGTGACAGAAATGATTGCTGTGCCTTACAGTCTGCAAATGGTGGATTCCCAGGAGGGTTTTCATCAGTTTCCCAGATGGAAATGCCTGACTTCGCTGCGAGCGCTTTATCCAATGTAACCAAACACATCTCTGGAGTTGATCTGACCTTTATCAAGCACTCATTGAACTGTAATGCCTTTAATCCATATCTGATATCTGGACATGGGGCTCATTCCCCAGTGGAAGATCTGGTGGCTGTGTTTTGGTTCTGGTGATGCCTGGCTATCATCCTGGCAAATATTTATACCGGAATCGGTTACAGCCTCAGCTGTTGTAACTATATGGGTAATATTCCCCTGTGTAGTTAGTTACTCAGGGTTTTGATTTATGTACAATAGTTTAAGTCACCCTATTAACAACAAGCACAATTCTACGGTTGGTCTGATGGTTAAAGCTTGGCTCGTCACAATAGGTTCGATACATGGGCACAGTGTGTTAAACCCATTTTCTGGTATTCCTCCCGTCGTGGATACTGGAATATTGCTAAAAGCTACAAAAATTAAAACTCAGTCAGATTTAACAACAAGCAAAATTCTACACTTCTAATTCAGATTACTTAACTCATGACACCTTTAGGAAATATATGATGCTTGTGATCATGTGACAATTCAGGTAATATTCCCTACCTGTGATCATGTGACAATTCAGGTAATATTCCCTACCTGTGATCATGTGACAATTCAGGTAATATTCCCTACCCATGATCATGTGACAATTCAGGTAATATTCCCTACCCTTGATCATGTGACAATTCAGGTAATATTACATACCTATGATCATGTGACAATACTGGTATTATTTACAGTTGTCATGACAACTCCCTTCAATAATCTTGGGACAGTATATTGAATATTTCCATGCTAATTATATCATGACAAATCAGGTGACTGTGACAATATAGTTTATGTAAACCATAACTGTGCTACCAGTAGCATCAGTGCGTTGCCATGACTCATGGTTATGTCACGCAGTTCTACCTTTCAGAACCTATTTGCAGACATTTGTTTACTTTCCCTAATTATTTACATGTAACACAACATCATTACTTGTCACACTGATGTGCACTCAGTGTGCGGAGTTGTAATCGCCGTTGTTCGCGACTGCTGCAGCCATTGAATGGCAGGGTGATGGGAATGATAATTGCAGGCCATGTGCAATATGCAGGAACTGTAGAAATTTCTCGCTTGACTAATTATTCGGCTTTCATGGGTGTAGGGGTTGGTGAAGACATTGTGAAGAAAGGTTGTCGCTTCAGTTCTACAGGGGCGGTGGGGTAGCCTAGTGGTTAAAACATTTGCTGGTCATGCCAAAGATCCGGGTTCGATTCCCCACGTGGGTACAATGTGTGAAGCTCATTTCTGGCATTCTCCTCCGTGATATTGCTGGAATATTGCTAAAAGTGGCGTGAAACTAGACTCACTCAGTTCTACATCTCTGTTATTATTGCCAGCCTTCAGCATCAGCCTATAGCACCAACATACATGGTATCACTCATAGTTCTGTTTATTACATGACAATGTATGTGTGTGACATGTTTCCACCTTAACTGTGCATGTGGGGTAGCCAAGTGGCTGAGGTGCTCACTCAGCAGAAGGTCAAAGTTCGATTCTGGATATTACTGGAATGCTGCTAGTTGTGGCATAAAATCAAACTCACTCACTCACCCAAAACTGCATATTACATATAAAGACATTTCTGAGGATATTTTGGAACACTCATTTTAGGTCATGTTAAATTTCTTTATTTTGGGGAAATTTGTCCTCCTTCAACGGTTTGTTAGCTTTCATGTGTGCTCAAACCAGCAGGTTTAGGATTTAGAGTTGTGGATGATGTTGTGGATCCTGATGCTTGTATATTGTTAATGACAAAACAAACAAAAGATTTCCCAGGTTTATCCTGATGCATGTATATTGGTAGGATGATTGGCGCTGCTCGTCCTAGCTCTGTAAGTGCTAAGAATGTATAGTACATGTAGTACAATGGAAGAGTGTAAATCAAAAGGGCGGTGGGGTAGCCTAGTGGTTAAAGCGTTGTCTCGTCACGCCTAAGACCCGGGTTCGAATCCCCACATGGGCACAATGTGTGAAGCCCATTTCTGGTGTCCCCCGCCGTGATGTTGCTGGAATATTGCTAAAAGTGGCGTAAAACAAAACTCAGTCAGTCAGTATATTGGTAGGATGATTGGGTCGCCCCTAGCTCTGTAAGTGCTAAGAATGTATAGTATATGTGTGGAAGAAGCCTAGTGGTTAAATTTTCGAATCCCCACATGGTACAATGTGTGAAGCCCATTTCTGGTGTCCCCCGCCGTGATGTTGCTGGAATATTGCTAAAAGTGGCGTAAAACCAAAACTCAGTCAGTCAGTATATTGGTAGGATGATTGGTGTGGTCGTCCTAGCTCTGTAAGTGCTAAGAATGTATAGTACATGTAGTACAATGGAAGAGACTGTAAATCAAAAGGGCGGTGGGGTAGCCTAATGGTTAAAGCGTTGGCTCGTCGCGCCAAAGACCCAGGTTTGAATCCCCATATGGGCACAATGTGTGAATCCCATTTCTGGTGTCCCCCGCTGTGATGTTGCTGGAATGTTGCTAAAAGCGGCGTAAAACCAAAACTCAGTCAGTCAGTCAGTGTAAATCAAGAGTTTTCCAGTATGTTATACCTCGGTAGGTGACTCATGGAAACAGGATGGGTGATTAGAGAGATGCGGAGTCAATGTAAACAATGTGTCTCCAACACCATCAGTAAATGGAAGCAGTCACATTAGGGAGCTTTTGTATTGTTGTCTTACAAAATTTGCATTGATTCGTGTTTAGAGAAATCCTAGCAATGAACACAATTGAATTACATTGTGCTGAATGCCACTGAACCTTTAAGGGAGATAATCAGTGAGGTATCAAAGCTTGATGGTTGATGCTGACACGTAGATGGCGATAATGATGGTTCTTGTTACTGGTTACTCTGTAACTGACTGCTTTAGTCAGTAATGGCGATGCAGCAAGTGTTACTGATTACTGGCACAGTTGTTGATGATGGCTCTAGCTCTGAGAGAGAAAATCTAGGCCCAGGTTACTGACTGTTCTGAGTAGTTACACTGAGGATAAGTAATATTTGATGTTGCCACGACGATGAAGATGTTGGAATTTTTGTTACTAGTTGCTCTGGGAACAATATATATTTGATACTGCCACAATAATTCAGGTTACTGACTGTGATGTCTAGTTACACTGAGAATAAGTAATATTTGATGTTGTCACGACGATGCAGGAATTTTTGTTACTAGTTGCTCTGGGAACAATATATATTTGATACTGCCAAGATGATTCAGGTTACTGACGGTGATGTCTAGTTACACTGAGAATAAGTAATATTTGATGTTGCCACGACGATGAAGGTGTTGGAATTTTTGTTACTAGTTGCTCTGGGAACAATATATATTTGATACTGCCACAATGATTCAGGTTACTGACTGTGATGTCTAGTTACACTGAGAATAAGTAATATTTGATGTTGTCACGACGATGAAGGAATTTTTGTTACTAGTTGCTCTGGGAACAATATATATTTGATACTGCCAAGATGATTCAGGTTACTGACTGTGATGTCTAGTTACACTGAGAATAAGTAATATTTGATGT